CAGTCACTATGGTCCACATGCAAGTCAAAAATACAAGCATCTGCTCCCAAACATAAGGCTTGCCAAACACAAGCTCACCTGTCAGGATTAACCTCATCCCACAGTACCACAAATGCAAAAGGTTCAAAGTACTTATCTTAGGGCACTTGCAGCACAGGGCTGGCTCTGTCCTCCTATGGCAGACAGTCCCTTTCACTAGGCAGCATGGACTGGCTTCTCCCTAGAACACCACCTCCTGTAGCTTGTACAACCAGGCTGCCCCTTCTGGACCAAGCCTTGAGCTTTTGAGCCTCTCCCTGGGTCACATGACCCTCTACTTCTGCCCCCAAGCCATCTTATTTAATGTCCCCTTTTCCCATTTAGTCTGTTCAAGGGGCTGGGCTGACCAGTGGGCCCTAGGCTTCCCCTCCTCAGTATGGGGTAGGGGGCCTGTTGCCTTTTGTTAATCGGTAACAGATGTAGAGAGTTGATCTTAGACAATAAGTTAAGGTGTTTTTTAATGCTTTCCTGTAAGAATCAATTAGTTGGATATTATACTCTCTCAACAGTAAGCTAGTAATAATATGCTCTGAAAATGCACTTGTAATGTGCCTTTTGAATTGCATTTGTCCACAAGTGCCAAGGTATTGGCCATGCTCTTTGTAAAATTGATCTCCGTTATTAAAGAGTCCAATATTCTCCAATGGATCTTTTGTGTCAGGACAAAGAATTCATTTTCTTCATTGCGGGACACTTTATTTTAGTTAAAAATGGTTTGTTTTCATGATGAGGCATATTTTTGCCAGGCACTTATCATAAAGGAGTACTGCATGAGCACCACAGCTTGTATCCAGATAGTGGCACTGATGGATTTTTTTTGCCTATTGTATCATAAGGGTCTGCCAGTAAAGAAAGAGGAGAATAAAGTTTGAATACCATAGGTCCAATTCATTGTTGCTCTGCACTTTGGGGGTCATTGATTTCTCTGGTTCAAAGATGGTGTAAAATTATAATGAATAAAAGTGGCAATTTTGTGCTAGTGTAAATAATGACAAGAAGCATAAAGCAAGGATAAATCAGACTCTGTCAGTAGAGCATGGATCACAGTGATTTCTGCCACTGCCCCCTCACCCAGTTATCAGTGAAAACAAGAAATATTTGCCCACAACAAAGAAAAACATGCACAAGTATCGAGAGATAAATCTGTATTCTTACCAACTTTATTTCCAAGGGATACTGAATCTAATTTTGCATTTCAAAAGGTTACAACAGCATTGACCTTATATTCTGTAAAAGGAATGACAAAAGTTGACAGTATGACATGCTACTGCCAAAAAAAACATTCAAACTATATAATTAACCATTACAAAATCATGTTAGCAATGTGTAATACTTCTAATGGAATAGCTAGCCACCTTGAGATTCAAATGGGCTTTCACTGAATCAAGTAATAGAAATGACTAGCCTTTTATAATGACTAGTGTAAGTAGAGAAACCCGTAGCATCATTTGCAATAGAAATGAATGCAATATATTAGCTCAGTGAGAAGGGTTAGGCTTAATATTTTTCAAAGAAAAATATGCACATTTGCTTGCCCTTCGGCCTGTATTGTGAACAGATGTTCATCAAAAGCTAACTTGAAGAGGTTGGAATCCATTAGAAGATGAACTTCCAGAATAAGCTATTCGAATGTGAAAATAAATGGTTGTCAGAATAAATAAAGGACTAGACATATTAATTGGGAGATTCCACTGGGGGGCCTAATAGGCAGAAGAAAGCTTTCTACTCCAGCCTAGAATCATGTAATTTGCTTGTTACACATACAGAGCTAGAGGCTGGCATTGATTCTACAGTGTGGCAGCAGTGACGGAGCAATCTTCAAAGGCACACAAAGGCAGTAGGAGTTATGTGCCTAGCCAGCTTTGCAAACCTACCTTAACTGCTGTAGCCAATGAAATGGGACTATGGACATGCCAGGAGGGAATCTGGACTGTGCAACAGGCAGGGTGTCAATTGCCAGCAGGCCCTTCCCAATAACAATGCATGAATTCAAACATATGCATTGTTCTGTGGGCAGTGGGTTGCATCTTATACTTCTTTCTTATCCTTTTCACCCTTTGCTAGATATGGGTACAGATCACATCCAATAGTTCAGGTCATACTGTGAATGCAATCAGGTGCACACTGATGGCCAGTCTAACTATTGTGCCATCTAACCCTTCTCACACATGATTAGACTAGCTTAAAATGCCAGGAGCCAATGACAACCCCCCTGCATTAATGTTGCCACTGCGCCATCATTAGTCCTGCCCATGTAACAGTACCATGCAACACTTTTCCCACGTGCAGTTAGAAACGTAGATTTTTTTCCCTACTGGGTATTTTTAGCTGGAATGGGATGATTCAGTTCCAAAATATGGATTATGCAAGGGCTAGTGCAAATACAAGTGATAATTAGCCACTTAAATTTCCGTCTCTCTCTGTTGTTCATGGCACCTCATCTTTGCACCCAGAATGAAAATCACTCTGCACTTGTCATATTTTGGAAGTGGGAATGGAATTTTGGAGGATTCTTGTACTGTAAAACGAGCAAGAACTGATGAACTAGACAATCATGTAGGATGAGATCCTCAATAGATGTAAGGCAGCATAGCTCTATTGAACTCACTGGAGGTGCTCTTTGACACCAACTAACAATCTCACCCATCAGTTTAATTTATTCTTTCATGCCTGTTTTGCATTCCTAGGAGGCCAACTGAATGGTTCAGCATCAGGCTAAAGACTTCCAGTTTAACCACTACAGTCTACTGCTGGTGACTGGTGTACTGTAATCTCTCACTTTTTCCCTCTAAACTGTTGAAAAATCTGCTGCTCACTAAAGTGAGTCGAAAAACATTTGCTAGAAGCAGAACTAAAGCTAGCTACACAAGCTTACCAATGTATCTCTGCCATTACAACTCTCATGATTCTTTCACCCTGTCTAGCCAGCAAGAATGTCTTCTAAGTAGTGTCCTTTGCTCCAGATTGTTTAGCAGTGAGGAGCAAACAAAGGCCAAGAAACTAATTTTTGGTGAAAATGAGCTAGAGCTTGAACCCAGGTCTCCAATGATCCAGTAGAAAGTCTGCTGTTTACTTCAAAGGGTTTTGGATGAGGTCCCAAATGGTCTACTTGTGCTATCTAACAGCTGGTGCAGAGGGGATAACAGTGATGAATTATATACAGAACCCTGCACAATCAACTCTATATGAGGTGACAGGTTCCCCACGAAGTCACCGCCACCATGCCAAATGCTTGACAAGCCTGCCAACAGAAACTTGGTTTAAGGGTTAGGGTCATACCTAGCTCCCCAGCTTGCTGAGACATCAGCTGCTCTTGGTACCACACTAGTTAATAGATGTTTATACACATATTGCTTTAGAGTGCACACACCTCATGTTACATGGCTCTGGAACACCCAGCAGAATCTTCTTTTGTCCATAATGATTCCATTAGTGGAAGATACCTTTAGTGTGCTCTTTTCAAAACCAGGAATAGTCCCTAGACCATTATTCATGCAGCTCTTCTCCTCCTTCACCAAGAAGGGCCGGTGTAGTCCAACCTGCTCTTTAGTTATATTTATTTGTATACAAGCATGTTGTCTGAGCTGAGTTTAAAGATGTTTCTTCCAAAAGCCATCACAAACCAATGAGAATGGTCAGAGTAAGTCACCGAAACTTTGTGTATGCATGTCAAATGACAGATATTCAAAAAGCAGCTCTTTAGCTTTATACTGAATGGGATACTCCAAACTTATTTCACCAGAAATACTTTCTACTCTGTCAGCAACAGTAAACCCTATGCCACATGCAGATCCCCTTCCTTACCTGATCTTGTATCCAGAGATTTGCCTCTTTTTATTGAATAATGAATTCTGCAGTCAGTAAATTCCATGCTTTTCTCACTGACTTCAGTGAAAACTCTTCTATGACTTCACTGAGCTTATATGATAGGAAGTTGATACATGTTTTTGTCCAAAACTTTTTACCAAAAGTGTAGATTTGGGTTGACTGAAACACTTTGAAAATTTGAGTCAATTGTATCTAGTAGGAGGGGGAAAAAACCCTGGAAAAAAAATCCAAAAAGGTAGAAATATTTTGTTTTAACATTTTTTTTAAACACAAACATTCTGATTTTCCAATCCAGAATGATACCATATTTCAAAATATACTTCAGTTCGATTTAAAATACATTAAGAGGTTTTAAAAGCATAACACAAAATGGTTTTTTTTTTTGTTTTATAGAAATACAAATGTTTTGTACTTGAGTTGAACAAAATATTTTCCTTAATTTGAAACAAATTTTCTTTTCTCTTTTTTGGTTTGCAGAAAATTTTGGAAAAATAAATTCTTTGGGGGCAACCTGAAAACATTTTTTTAATTTCTTTTGAACTGAAAACTCAGTTACTTGCATGGACAAATATAATGGGAGGAGATTTGAGGGGAAAAAGCAGAGCATTTGGCCCAGAAATTCTAAGAATTCTGTTTTTCCCCATATTTTTGAAGTGCCTGGCATCCTTGGGGCAATAACAGTAAGTGGCATTATTTCTTAGCTACATGGAGGGGGGAATAGTTACATTATAAAACCACCCTGCCATTCATCACAAAGAAATACATTCTGCTCAAGTCTAGAGGTTTA